TGGATTTTGTTTCTCATCTTTTCACCACGACAACACAGCCTGTGTAGACATTATCCCTGTTCCTTTTAGAAAAACAGGGCCCGAGCAATGTGTGCATAATCTGCTGCAGTGAGTGCACGTAGACAGGAAGTAACTGATTAAAGCTTGAGGAAATCAGCAGTACTGAGAAGCTAAAGCAAATTAAAAAAAGTTGAACAGTATTTTATGTGCAAAATCCCTGACAATTGTTTATGATACCCAGTGGTTTAACAAGCTAAATGTTATCCAAGTGACTTTATTCTAGATATAAGGAGCAGGTAATACATACAATCTGATGCAGAAACAAAGACTGTCAACTAATTTGTTTCTTACCCAGTTTGAAGATTGCAGTGCAATTAATCCATCTATAAATTGCTGTATAATCGATTGTATGTGTAGAGGTTTCTCAAATAGTTCATTTAGACTGTAAGCTCTGACAAGCAGGGCCCTCTTAAGCCTCCTGTATTAAATTGTATTGTAACTGTAACATCTCTATTTATCTTGTAAAGTGGTGTGCAAACTGTTGCTGCTATTTAAAACAATAATAATAAACCATATTTTCTGCTTTTTCATGGACGGTTTTAGACCATTCCTTGGAGCTGACCACAGGGCTATCTCACAATGAAGGACAACACCAACAGTTCCTACATTGCCTGTAACGTCAACAGAGACTTGGAACCATTCACATATTTCTACTGGATCATATTTTTTGTAGGATTTTTGGGGAGTTGTTTTGCTTTGTGGGCTTTCAATCGGAAGGACAACAGCCAGAAATGTACAAGTGTATACCTCATCAACCTGCTGGTGGCTGATTTGCTACTGACTTTGGCTTTGCCATTTAAGAACATTGTTGACTTGGGATTGGCTTCCTGGAAGTTAAAGATCTTTCACTGCCAAGTAACAGCATGTATGATTTATATCAACATGTATATATCAATAATATTCCTGGGATTCGTCAGCATGGATCGCTGTTTACAGACTGTACGAAGTGCAAAACTGTACCAAATACAAAAAAGAGGATTTGCCACAATGCTGTCAGTTGTTGTTTGGGCTTTAGTGCTGAGCATTATGCTACCAAATATGCTGATCCCTATCAAAGACATTCCTGAACAGGAGGGTGTTGGCTGTATTGACTTTAAACAGCAGATTGGAAGAGACTGGCATATGCTTTCCAATTTCATCAGTCTTGCCATATTTTTGAACTGTTCCGGCATAATCTTGATCTCTAATTGTATTACTATTAATAGGCTTTATAAAAATAAGGACTGTGAGGAATTTAACAACATCAAATCATCCCTCGTGAAAATTTTTCTAATAACAGCTGGGTACATCATATGTTTCCTTCCCTATCACATCGTCCGAATCCCATACACGTTAAGTCAAAATGATGTCATCACAGACTGCAGCCTGAAACAAGTCCTTTTCCACGCAAAAGAATCAACGTTATTGCTGTCAATTTCGAATCTTTGCTTTGATCCTATTGTATATTTCTTTTTCTCAAAATCCTTTAGAACTAAAGTAACCAAAACGTTCTCCATAAAGAAAGACGCCCAAGCTGTGACTGGTGAGGACACTGTAACAGAAACAGCAGTCTAGGAAAGCAGCCACAGCGTACAGGGCCGGCCTTAGGCCTTTAGGCGCCCTGTGCGAGAAAGCTTTACAGCGCCCCTCAGTGACCACACCCCTCAGTGGCCACACCCAAAGCTTTTACCGCTCATCAGTTTAGTGTTATCAGTGATTGATGGCCCTACAATTATTGCTCTCACTCCGACGTTCGCGACGATATGTAATAGTGCGGCGTAATGGGCGAAATCGTCGTTTTCACACGTATGCGCACCCGACGCCTGTTTGCATGCATGTATGTATATATGGGGGGGGACTTTAAAAAAATATGTAATTCTTTTTTATTTGTAACTTTACATTTTTGGGGGGAAACTTTATTGCTATCACATAGGGGGGTTAGAAAACCCCCTTATGTGATAGCAAAATATGTGACAGGTCCTCTTTATGGAGACATCAGGGGTCTCCAAGACCCCTTTTTTTTTGTCATATCGGATGGCCAGCGCCCAGCGGTGAGGGGGAGAGAAGCCGCCCCCAGGACGAGCTGTGTCGGCCGCACAGCGCCCTTGTTGCCATGGCGCCCTGTGCGGCCGCACTGCTCGCACACCCCTAAGGCCGGCCCTGACAGCGTATCCATACATCAAACGAGAAGTAAGAAGCGGCTTCAGGGATGCTTTGTAGAATGCCAACAACTTATATTTACGAAAAACATGTATTTATGTACCATCTTAAAAGTTATCCAAAGTAACCATTGAGATTGCAGCCATCTTTTTATATTGTAGTTATTGTGAACATAAAAAAAGTATGTCTGGTTGTTATGGGCCATACAAACTAGTATAACTATGGGACATAATTTATTAATATAGGCAAATACCGGCACATTCACTGGGCTTTCTGTGGCATTCATCCTGAACATTCAGGGAAGATATTAGACCACATTTACACTGAGCTACATCACTTCAGCACTGATTTGAGCTGAGTGACTTTGAGCGACATTGAGCTACATTGAGCTACAGTGAACATATTGTCGTGCTATGTAGCACTACGTTTGACATGGACCTCGTAGCTGCTACATAGGGCTGTATCCAATCAAAAGCGATCTTGATGTGACATAATTCCTCTACCTGTTTCCTGCTTATGTCCTTGCTTATATTTCTGTACAAAAGTGACACTTCTCTAGCGCAATGTCACACAAAATCGCCGGTAATGAGCGACATTGAGCTACACCATTGAAGTCTATTGGGACAAATCACGCAAAATCCAATGAAAAATAGGTCATATTCGAGCGACAAGCTTGAGCTACAAGCTACAGGCGACATTGAGCTGTGAGATGTGAACATCGACATTGAAATGCATTGGAAGAGTTACATTGAGATACATTGCGCTTCATATTTGAGAGATTTTTGAGTGGAAATCACGCTACAAAACGATCAGTGTGAATTGGGTCTAATGGGGATGAGAAAAAAGTGTGAATGTTGGTGAAGGCAAATAAAGATTTTAGCTTTAAAACCTTCATTTTGCAAAATGTCAGATGCCTGTTGACGGCAGCATCATAAATGTGAGTGGAAACACATCCCTTTAAATCTACTTAGGAAATAGTGGAAGAGTCAGTGATAATATAGATAATTATCCAATCTAACAGGGTTATTCACTAAAGGGTGAAGGCTTTGGAGAAGGCAGGAGAAGTGAACAATCTAGGACCACATAGCTGAACAGGAAAGTGAGCTGAATTGAAGATTTTTTTCCAAATCAGCTATTTTGGTCTAGATTGTTCACTTCCTGTCCGATTTCCAAAAGAGAATTGGACCCATCAGATGTAACATTTGCCATATTATAGATAAATTGAATGTTACTTTGAAGAATATCAAAACCAAGTGCAAGGCAAACAGTGGTAAAAGGAATTGGTATCTGGTAAATGTGCATGCAGCAGGTGCTTTATAACTAGAGGCAACTGTGTAGTGATTGGTGGGACTAACATTTGCAACACAATAAATATGCTCCTTCCACTACTAAACTATGTAAAAACTAGTAAAAAGATTGCTGTAGTCAAATGAACATGTTTTGCAGCACTCCAAATCAAAATATAAAAAAAAGATAATCCAAGATGCATACAAAGTTTACCAATAAAACAATGACAGATGTTAAAGTGACCTGTTAATGAATTTAGCACAACATTGCAAGTAATAAAGACGTGATGCTGAGAAATAGTTGAGCTATAATTTCCAGTATATCAGTTTATAAATTGTAATACTCTTTATGCACTCAGAACTAACCTAATATAAATTTAGCAGGGCAGGGTTATCAAAACTGGCTTTCCGGTATATGTCCTAATCTTTGCAACAGAAATAAATACAAACCCATAGATTAGGTTATTGTGCCTTGCAAAAACAACCACCTACTCATGCTGCAATGAATGACAATGAAACCGGCAACTCTGTAAAGCGCTCAACTTCCTGATCAGGCAAATCATGTGCCCAACCGGTTATGCGCTTTACTTTACATGTTTTTAAAGTTTACACATGATGTTATGTATATTTGTTTTTATTTATATAAAATCTTTATTTTAAAAAAACAGGGTGCACATATGGCACTGGTTTGAAGAGCATTCATGTTTTTGTTGAGCATGAGTATTTTTTTTTATACAGAAAGCACAGAAGTAGCTTAGTTTGGGGAAGTGAGTGCTTTACACTTGTCATTCATTTAGCCGAGTGTGCAATATGAGCATTAGCTATTTTACTATAGCTATTTTAGCTATTGTCTGGCAGGTGTCCTGTGCACACCTGCCAGACAGCACAGTCAAGTCTGTGACCTTCCTGAAGTCTACACTGTATTCAGGAAATATAGTTTGGTCTACTCCAACCTGTCTGGATAATGAATGAGCATCAGCCCACAGGTGAAGTGATCTCAGTAGTCCTTCCTCCTGAGCTTCTTTACGTTAGACTAATAACACTGAACAGAGCAATATTGTCCTGACTGGCTCAGTGCTGTCTTTCCCTCTCCTGGGCTGTGAATATTTGTAAAAATATGCTTGATAGGACATGAAAGAGTACAGTCTGAGCGATATAAGTTAAAGCAGATTGTGTTTATCTATTATTGTGTGATAGTTAAATATCAGTCCACGATTTTTGAGTCATTTAGGCAAAATTCCAGAGAGTTCTCAATTTTTTTTATTCCCATATTCTGATATAATACATTAATACAGTGCTCTAAGTGAAACAAACAAACCATAAAGAGGTGTAGAGATAAAGCACAGCTGGAGCATCAATGAGCATTGATCTCATCTGCCTGGCATACAATTTAGTATAGGTAAGGATATTACTGTAGCGTTTCATGCAAACCACCGAAGACCGTGTAGGAGGAAGTACAGATATTTTTACAGTCAATGATCCTCCCCCATGAAATAAGCATATCACCGCACTTACCAGTGGAATGGGAAAGTGTGTAGCATACTGTAAATGACGCAGAAGTTCATAACTGGAAGGGAAAATGATGTCTCTCTTTACCGACTTTTCACTAGAGCCAGAAACTCTACGATGTAAAGATGGAGGATCATAATTGTGGCAGTCTCCAGGAACTGGAGAAAATATCTAAACATAAAACAAGAAATAAACCAGTCATATAAAATAGATCTGAATGATGAATTCAAAGCAGAACTTCAACCAGCATAATATTGCTTTACTTTTATTACAAAACATCTCTAGACAAGAAGTAAGACCAATGAATGATATATTATTACTATCCAGGAAACTTGCATACTGTGCTAAGTAAGGCTATTCAGTTTACCTTAATGAGAGTTTAAAATAATAATAATAATTACTATACAGGATTTACATAGCACCAAACATTTGTGCAGCGCTTTACAAAACTGAGACAATACAACAATACAATTTCAGTACAGGAGGTTGGAGGGCCCTGCTTGTGAGAGCTTACAAATAAAATAATCTAATGCAATCTATTAAAGGAGAACTATGGGGTCAGTGTTTTTCCCCATAGTTCTCCTTAGGGTAACGGGAGGACACAAACTAGCGTCCTCCCGTCAGCCTAAGCTCAGTATACCGCGAGCTACAGCTCGCGGTATACTGAGACGCCGCAGCAGGAACAGATCCCGACTTAGACGACGGGATCCGCCCAGCTGCATGAGTGACAGCTGGCTCTGCCTATCTAGAGGCAGAGCCAGCTGTACCCGACGCTCCCCGGTCCGTTCCGCCAGTCAGCGCTGGCAGATCGGAGCGGGGAGAGGGGAATCCAGCCCCTCCCCCTGTCACGGCAGAGAGCCGTGACAGGATCGAGAGGTGAGCGAACGCCGGTATGTGTTCGCTCACCTCCCGATCTACTGAGCCGACCTGTGACAGTCTCATTGTCACAGGTCGGCTAGAACTATGAGGTGAGTGAAAAGCACTCACCTCATAGTTCTCCTTTAAGATTGTGGGGTTCAAGTAGGTATGGGTGAATGTGTCCGGCATTGATTTGTGTTGAACCCTGTGTGTGAAGTCCAAAAATCCAAACCTAAAACTGAACCCCACTTCAGTCTATGGGGGCAAATCTTGATAATCAGCGTAGGCAAGGGATTCATAAAAAAGGGCATGGGGAGCTAGGCACTTCCATGGGGGACATTAAAAAAAATACCATACAGTGGGGAGAGGGTGCGCCTTTTAATGTGATTTTGAAGGCAACATTGAAAAAACACCAGTCCTTTAAGCTACATGCTAGGGAGATACCTTTAAGCTATATGTAGTAGTATGGAACAGTGACATTTTCACTGACAGTGATACTGTATTCTGCCATCACATACAGTATGTTGGATGTGTGATTTAGTTTTTTACTTTTACATTTAGCTTGGCTTATATACAGCAGCAGTACACCAATATGATTTATTACAACTTTAAAAAAGTATTTTTTTAGATAGTTTGGGCTGCAACACCTGCTTTTGTATCCAGTAGTAATAGGCCTCAATTGAAGCCCGCAAACTTCAAGCAAATTGGCTAATGGCACAACAGTTCAATAGTATAGTTGGTGAGCTTTTTTTGTAGCACCAGATTGTATTGTATTCTCAGTATAAAAAAAGTGCACAAAAACACTTCAAAACTACAACCCCACATTCCCAGAATCCCCTCCCATCCCAAATATTCCAAATATAGACTTGAGGTATATGTTTGGTTGCACTGCATTACATACTGACTTCTGCACTGCGTTACATACTGACGACTGCACTGTGTTACTTGCTGACCGCTGCACTGCGTTACACACTGACTGCTGCACTGCGTTACATGCTGACCACTGCACTGCATTACATGCTGACTTCTGCACTGCGTTACATACTGACAGCTGCACTGTGTTGCATGCTGACCTCTGCACTGTGCATTACACCACTGACCTCTGCACTGTGCGTTACCCCTCTGACCTCTGTACTCTGTGCTACAGCGCGGACTTCTGCACTGTGTCTTATGCCACTGACTTCTGACCTGTACATCACACCGCTGACTTCTGCACTGTGCATTACACCACTGACCTCTGCACTGTGCGTTACCCCTCTGACCTCTGTACTCTGTGCTACAGCGCGGACTTCTGCACTGTGTCTTATGCCACTGACTTCTGACCTGTACATCACACCGCTGACTTCTGCACTGTGCATTACACCACTGACCTCTGCACTGTGCGTTACCCCTCTGACCTCTGTACTCTGTGCTACAGCGCGGACTTCTGCACTGTGTCTTATGCCACTGACTTCTGACCTGTACATCACACCGCTGACTTCTGCACTGTGCATTACACCACTGACCTCTGCACTGTGCGTTACCCCTCTGACCTCTGTACTCTGTGCTACAGCGCGGACTTCTGCACTGTGTCTTATGCCACTGACTTCTGACCTGTACATCACACCGCTGACTTCTGCACTGTGCATTACACCACTGACCTCTGCACTGTGCGTTACCCCTCTGACCTCTGTACTCTGTGCTACAGCGCGGACTTCTGCACTGTGTCTTATGCCACTGACTTCTGACCTGTACATCACACCGCTGACTTCTGCACTGTGCATTACACCACTGACCTCTGCACTGTGCGTTACCCCTCTGACCTCTGTACTCTGTGCTACAGCGCGGACTTCTGCACTGTGTCTTATGCCACTGACTTCTGACCTGTACATCACACCGCTGACTTCTGCACTGTGCATTACACCACTGACCTCTGCACTGTGCGTTACCCCTCTGACCTCTGTACTCTGTGCTACAGCGCGGACTTCTGCACTGTGTCTTATGCCACTGACTTCTGACCTGTACATCACACCGCTGACTTCTGCACTGTGCATTACACCGCTGACCTCTGCACTGTGCATTACACCACTGACCTCATCACTGTGCATTACACCACTGACCTCTGCACTGTGCATTACACCACTGACCTCTGCACTCTGTGTTATAAACTCTTCACAGAAACAGCAGAAGGGGAGCGGAGCAAGACTGGGCACACATGCTGGGTGACAGAGTCCTAGTTAGTGTTATTACACATGATTTTTGAAGGCCTTCAAACCAGGGACGCACTGATACCAGTGTTGGGGAAAGTGCCCTGATACTAAAAACTGATACCGGTGCTTTCATTTTTCAAATTGATTCGGCTGTGTTAGATTCCACGTTTGCTAGGGACCACGCAGCAGCCTTCTGGGGAACCACATGGTGCCTGCTTACAGCTCTTCGGTCACCCACACATCCCCCATGCTAAGACCCTCCCCACCCCTTCTGAGACCTTCCACACCCCTCCTGAGACCCTCTGACCAAGACATCAGACTGACATCCCAGAGCAGGGCAGCAAAGAGCATGTAGCAATTTAATATACCCTTATTCTGCATTGCTGTATAATGTATTGCTGGGATTTATAGTCCTCTATAGCTGATGGTATTATTCTGCATTGCTGTATAATGTGCTGAAATTTGTAGTCCCTATACAGCTTAAAGTCAGTCACAGAACTAAAAGGGGTGCAGCGGTCGCGTGCGTGCACAGAACTGACAATGCATACCTCATACCAGTGTGCTATAATTTTCCTCAACCCAGAAATTTATCTGTCGCGTCACTGGCAGGTGCGCATGTGCATGAAGAAAGGGGGTCATGAAAACATCTGATTCGAATGACGAGGCCCCACCGTAATTGACGTGGTCGAAAAAATGTATGGGGTCGAGAAAAATTATAGGACACTGACTTTGGCACTGTCCGGCTCCTCCCACAGCTCACAGTCCAGAAATCCGGCAGCCTACAGTGGGTGAGAGTGCCTAAGTACCGGACATGGAGCGGAGTAAGGCCAGAACCATGCAGGGAGCCCAGCAGCCCATCCCACAGCCAGTCACCCCTTTCATGAACTGACTAGGAGTCCTACCATCACCCGACCATTCACACTACCATAACATAGATGGCAAAAGTGGCAGGCAGGGGCGGGGAGAAGAGGCAAAGCGGGAGGGGGGCCAAGTCACTGCACCATGGGCCTCTGGGTTGTACTTGCCCCCTGGGCTAAAAGTTGCCAGTCAGCCCCTGGTTTGGTAGAACATAGGTAGCATCAGAACAGCACTTGAATAGGCAGCAAGTAGAGAGAGCTCTGCAGTGTGGTCCTTTTGTATCTGCAACCAACAACACCATTGTAGTCTGCAGCCTCTGCCTGCAGCTTATCAGCCATTGTAAAACTACCAAACACTTGGGTGTGAAATGCATGAAGAAAAGTGATTATAAACCACAGAGCTTACCGGAAGCAGCACCTCAAAGACAAGTCATCAACATAAGGCACAAACTCCTCCTCATCAAGGGCACATAGCACCCACTTTCCTTTTTAGTGCTGCTAATATGCCAATTTCCTCCTTCACATACTCAAGGGTGCATAGCAGCCACTTTTTTTGAGTGCTGCTAATGCACCCTTTTCCTCCTACTACTCCTCAGAGGGGCATAGCAGCCATTGTTTTTTTATGACTCAGAGTCATAAAAAAGCCATTGTTTTTTTATGACTCAGAGCTGCTAATATGCCCCTTTTCTCTTGCTTCTCAAAAGTTCATAGCAGCCATTTTATGGAGGTCTGCTAATGTGCCCTTTTCTTCTTCCTCTTCAGCTAAACTTTCAATAGCCATGCCAAATGGCCATGAGGAGTCAGCGGAATATTTTACACTGTTATCCCCAGAGCTTGTCCACAGAGCTCTGCTATGTTGCTACTATATATA